GTTTTCTAAATTTATATAAGCTACTAAGTATACCTAACAAAGAATAATAAGTTTATCCTATAAGTCTTACAATGACTATCATCTTTAATTGATCAAACTCTAAAAAACTAACACGACGCTACCTGTATGTTTGAGTATGTATTGTAGCATAATAACCATCGTCCATTTGTAACTAACAAGTACTATAGAAAATATTTAGTACAGCAGAAGAATTCGAGTTTTTTCACTGTCTACATCTCACTGTGATACTATAGAAAATATTTGGTACAACAACAAACTTTAGATTTTTCTTCACTGTGTCTACATCTACCTGTGGTAATATAGAAAATATTTGGTACAATAACAGACCTTAGATTTTTCTTCACTGTGTCTACATCTACCTGTGGTACTATAGAAAATATTTGGTGCAGCAGAAGAATTCGAGTTTTTTTTTCTCACTGTCTACATCTCTCTGTGATACTATAGAAAATATTTGGTACAATAGTAGATCTCAGGTTTTTCTTCACTGTGTCTACATCTACCTGTGGTACTATAGAAAATATTCGGTACAGCAGTAGACCACATGTTTTTCACTGTATCTGCATCTACTTGTGATACTATAGAAAATATTTGGTACAGTAGTAGATATCAGGTTTTTCTTCACTGTGTCTACATCTACCTGTGGTACTATAGAAAATATTCGGTACAGCAGTAGACCACATGTTCTTTACTGTATCTGCACCTACCTGTGGTACTAGAGAAAATATTTGGTACAGTAGTAGATCTCAGGTTTTTCTTCACTGTCTACATATACCTGTGGTACTATAGAAAATATTTGGTACAATAGTAGGCCTCAGGTTTTCTTCACTATATCTATCTGTGATACTATAGAAAATATTTATAACATTAGTAGACCTCAGTTTTTTTGTCTACATCTACCTGTGGTACTGTAGAAAATATTTGTTACAGCAGTAGACCTCAGGTTTTTCTTCACTGTATCTACATCGCTCTGTGGTACTATAGAAAATGTTTTGTACGGCAGTAGACTTAAGTTTTTTCTTCATTGTGTCTATATCTCTCTGTGGTTCTATAGAAATATTTGGTACAACAGTAGACCTCAGGTTCCTCTTCGTTGTGTTTACATCTACCTGTGGTACTAGAGAAAATATCTGATATGGCAGTAGACGTCAGTTTTTCTTCGCTGTGTTTACATCCCTCTATGGCCTATGCTAATATGAATTAATTATCATCATTCTTAGAATCCTAACTTCAGTGTTTAAACACAGTTACTCTTAAGGTTAATTTTTTCATTATATCGATATATTGGCAACGTATGGGGAAAATATAGAAAGCCAGGAAGTAACATACGGGAGTCACATCCGAAAACTTACCCCTCTATGTCACCCCCCGGGGGGTAGCTAATGAATGGGTACTTGGTGATAATTAGTCCACCGTTTAGCCAGGGGCTCCTTGCGTACAGTAAGGGTCATATCCCAGTTTACGAACTCCTTATATCACTCCATGAGAATTCTAAAGGTTTGATGTAAGTTGATCTGGCGGTTCGCCCTTTAAAAGCGAACCCACAAAAATGGACTTTTGTCAAATAATGGTTTTATAAATTTCCCTGCAAACATTACTTACCTTTTATCTCTTTTCTATTGATACCTCTTAACGTTCCTATGTACCAAATAATAATAACTTGTAAAAATATCTTTTTTATTCTCGGGTACGACATCTAAAAATTACCAGTAAATAGATACGTGATGAAGCAGAACAAGTACAGGAAATTTCTTTTAAATTTTTTCAATAGAAATGTTTCTAATTTTGTATTGATAGTGGGACGGTACCTACCGCCAACTCTTGGGCTACTTTAGTCGAATAGTGAGGTTTGGTCTTTGCTTTAATACATACTAGCATATTAGTGCGACACGCGTTTTTGTAGTAACATGACGTGAGCCATGAACCTTTCACAGTCCGCAGGCGTGAATCGGAGTGTCGAGCCTAAATCTGATTGACCATTAATTGCTAAGGTCGAACCTTACCTGTATTTTTACATAGTCGGACCTAAAAATTCAAATTCGAACTCAACTTTGGTTTTCTTGCGTCGTAACCCTGGATTTAATTTGTGCCGCGCAGAAAAAAACATCGCGAGAAGTTCAATCAAAGTTTATTGAGGAAAACTGAAACAGCACCAATAAAATAGTTGGATCACTCCTGAGGTTTATTGAGGAAAAGCTCAGACAGCACCAGTAAAGTAGTTGTATCACTCCTGAGGTTTTTTGAGGAAAAGCTCAGTCAGCACCAGTAAAGTAGTTGTATCACTCCTGAGGCTTATTGAGGAAAAGCTCAGATAGCACCAGTAAAGTAGTTGTATCACTCCTGAGGTTTATTGAGGAAAAGATCAGACAGCACCAGTAAAGTAATTGTATCACTCCTGAGGTTTATTGAGGAAAAGCTCAGACAGCACCAGTAAAGTAGTTGTATCTCTTGCTAGATCCCATATAAAAAAATTCAGACAGCACCAATATAATAGTTGGTTCCTTTGTGAGTTTCCATGGGGAAAAATCCAAACAGGACCAATATAATAATTGGATCCCTCGTGAGGATCCACAAATAAGAGTTCTAACAGCACCAATAAATTACGTGAAAAGAAATAGACAATAATTACAATACTGTTTAATTTATTTAATGAAAACTTTTATTCACATGTTTCTGTACAAAATGTTCAGTCTGTACAAACGTAAAATTTGGACTAAATGTAGTTAGTTACAGTTTAAAAACCACAGAAATATCCCAGATCTGTTTCACTTACCTAACCTTAAGATTAAAAAGTACAATATGCAAACATGAAAGTTACAGAGTGGAAACTTGTATGACTTTATACAGATTACAAAAACACACAAAAATATTTACTTTCTACATTAAATAAAGCCATCGATCACGACACTTTACCTTAACACACGTATTAAAAGACAACTTATTGAACCAAATAAATCAAAACAGTTTATTTGTCACATATTTATAATTATGTAAAATATTCTCTAAAAGTATTGCATGAAATATTGCTAACAATTATAAAAAAGATTAAATAAAAATCGAAAATGTCTCCTCTTTAACCCTGTTTTATGGTAAAATCATTTACATTCCGAGCCATAAGTTATTCATAAGTACACTTGATAGAACTATTCACAATAGAATCTATATTTTAAAATGTTTTTCATACTAGTTTTAGAAAAATTCAAATATCCGTCTAATTTTAAAAAGCTGCAAATCAGTGAATTTCTTTTTCTCCCACGTTAAGTTTGACACTCTTCATATCAGTTGACGGAACGAAAAAGTAAACGTTTATAATTTTGCTAAAAATATCCGGATTTCTCATGATGGTTCGTATGAATTGTGTGAATATGTGTGAACATGAACATATGTTTATTTCATTTCAAATTTAACACAATGTGATTTCACAATGAATAGTTATTACTTTAAAAAATTTCATGTTAAATAATAACGCCATTTTTTTCAGCAATCACATAAAAATATAAAAAATATCTTTAATTTCAATAAAATGAAGTGTGTATGTGTGTTTTTTTTTCGTGAACTATTATGGTATACATTTTCGAAACGTGAAGTACAAATACCTTTGTAATTATTTCCCTTGCTGGATGAATTTGAATAAATTTTTCTACCGGAAATATGTCAAGTGAAAATGAGTAGCATGAACTTTTAAATTAATAGTTCCTCAAGAATATGTACACGTGCTGAAACGTATTTTATTCTGAGAAGTTACAACTCTAAAAATCGGTTTTCGATAGCCCATTGTGTAGCTTTATGCCTAACAGCAAACAAACAAAAAAAAAACCTGAAATCTCTACCCAGCAGCTGCTATGTTCCTATAACTACCAAAGTAATTTTGTTTTGTTGTTGTTTCTTTATTATTAGCGCTATCTGCACTCTGTCCATCACAAGGAACCGAGCCCAGGATTTTAGATATGTAAGTTCGTAAACTTACCGCTGATCCACTGGGGTACACAAAAGTAAGTCCAAGATATCCAATCAGGGAGTAATTATGGGTATCGAATAATTTCTCTTCAAAACAAATAATTTTATAGTCACTGCATATTAAAAAAAATAACTGTTTGTGATCTCTATTATTAGAGCACGAAACAAGTGTATCTTAGATGTTTAAGTAGCAATGTTCTATAAGTCGAAAGAGAAGTGTATGAATACGATTTGAAAGTGGATATTATGAAAACGAACACAGTTATTTCTATTTTGTATAGTTCACCGATTAACTATTTCAAAAACCACCATTGTATTTAAATTCAAAGAAAATGACTCCACTTCCCAACCAAATTTATTTTGATTTGTCATTTGAATTCATTACGTCCAGTTTTTAGTGTCAACATAATATCCCAAACGTTTCCGTTTTAACCGGAATTTTGTTTTTCCAAAAGTGATTTTTCTTACACATTAGTCAATGTATAAAAAAAAAAGTTGTTATGTGTAATTAGAGGATTTTCTCACAAAAGAAAAAAACCAAAAAAAAAAACAGGACATACGTATAAGAGTCAGTTTTGGAAAATAAATAAAATAAACTCCAGTGGCACAGCGGTATGTCTGCGGACTTCCAACGCCAGAGACCAGGTTTCGATACCCGTGGTGGGCATTGTGTATATTTGCGCTGAACTTCAAACAAATAAAGCTTTTTAACTAAACATTTCTTCTTGATTTAATTCGTGATATTGTAGGCGGTCGCATCATCTACTCTCAACACTATATTCGAGTACAACGCTTGTTATTCTACTGTAGCTCTACATATATCTATTGTTACAGTGCTAAATACATTACAATATCAGCTAATCTAATCTCCTAGAATTACGTTTGGAATTGATATTAAACATAAATTAAGATACGTTATAAAACATTTCCAAGGAATTATATAATTACGATGAGAACATTGAAACAATTTACAAATAGGTTTAATATTTGCATCATATGTCTTATTGAAGCTAATAAGCCGAATGTGTAGTTACCGGTGTTTTCTTAATACCCTGTTGAACTAAACTTGTCACTAATACTAATGGTCTTCCAGGGTTTTTCTGACTGAAACCGGAAGTTAACAATCTCGAAGTCTGTATACTTCCTCTCCTGAGTCGAGACGGGTAGTTGTGGATAGGTAAGATCAGATCTTGTAAGCTAGATGGATGTTGAATAATTTATTCCTTTAGCCACGATGAAATGGCCAGTCTTCATTTTTACTAATGACCGCCCTGCTATTAAGAGCTTCGAGTTCCGAACCGTTATTTTCTGGACAGTGGTCACCATCTGGCTACTCAGTCAGCTGCAGGGGCGCAATAACCGCTGTAGGTCCGAGTGCGATCTTCGTTTCCAATTGTGTCCACCATAACCGAAGGTTCAGCATACCTCTCCGGACAAATGAACCCAAGAGGACACTCACAAAGTCTACTGGAGTTGACCTCCTCCACTCCAGGTCTTTTCTTTACGGTGAAGAGTCGACAAGGTTCCTTCCTCTCGCATCGCTGCCACTAGTGAGAGGAAATAGAAATTGTAATAAAATTCATTAGTTGTTTCAGATTGTAACAATAATTACAAACTTGAGTTATTTTGCAGAGGGCTCTTGTGAGGTGCTGTTCACGGTATTCTCAAGCAGAATTATTTAAAGAGTAGGAAATGAGCTATATTTGAGTTAAAAATACTAATTTCAAAGCAACAAATATTTAACATGAAATAAATTTCCCTCAACATACACTTTGAGGTGAACAAACGAAGGCGTATCTGTAGCCGACCCCTGAAAGGGTGTAGAAGGCTTGATGATTTAGGATGTAGGCTACGCTGTTTTTCGGGCAAACGCAGTGCATTATCTGTTGAGTTGTATTATCAGGGTGACTGACGTACGTCCAAGTGACGTCACGGAAGTAGCGGCAGGTGGGTAGCTTACTAACAGGTTCACAAAGCTAGAAAATAAAGATCACCTTGAGATTTGTTGTTTTTCAAAAGAGAGTGATAAATGCATTTCAATAAGGTTATTACGTACAAAAATTTATCCTAATTTTATGATAAAAAATTACTAGATAATAATTCTGAAAAGGTTTTTTTTTTTTACATCAGTCTATTGGTTAGTGAAAATCCAAAAAAAAAAGCTGCATAATTGGACGACTTTTCGAACCATTTAAATCTTCACCAATCACATCCAGATATTTTAATTATAAAAACATCCAACAACTTAAAGGTTGCATTTTGAATAGAGAAGAAAATTCTTATCTAAAATGCCTTGATCATTTCTGAAAGCATTATAAGTAAAACTTTAAGGTACATACATTTAGTGTAATAAAATAAATATTAATTATTCTTGAAATTACTTAACTTTTAGTTTTCAAAAACATTTGGGGCAACTAAAACAAAATGCATTAACTGTAATGTAAATTATTGTATTTATAGCCCAAAACTACACAATGAGCTATCTATGCTGTGTCCACTGCAGGGATCGAGCCCCAAATTATTAGCGCCATAAGTCTTCAAACTTACCGCTGAGCCACTTTGGGAGTGTTAATATGAGATCTAACAGAATAGTACTTGTATAAGTACTTTAAAACTTTTAAAACTATAAATATAGCGGATACACAACTGTTAGTTAATACACCATCAACAAAACTGCATGTATTTTCTTGTAAATAAATTCAGTTGCTACAATACGTTTTTTTAATCTTTATAATGGATCGCACAAAAAATATTTTTATTAATTTCTTAAATTCTATTTGAGTTTATAAAAAGCAAACATTTTGTTTTAGTGAGATATGAGTAATCATATACGATCTAAAGATACTTCTAACAGGTATCATGCTGCTTGAAACGACCATTTAAAGTATATTTATATCGTAACAATATCAAAAGCACATCTACATCTAGTTGATACACAAATGTGTGTCTGTAAATTACTTTTTTAATCCATTATTAGGCTTGACTAATATACTGAAAAATTTTTGGGATTATTATCAATAAAATAATAATTTGTTTTATTTGTTTGCTTTAGAATTTTGCATAAAGCTATCTG